CCTGGCGCTGATCCTGGCGCTTCCGCTGAGCCCTGACAGCCCTGCAGCTCCAGCCGTCTCTCGCTCAGGCTTGTGCGGTGCTACCACCGGTTCAGCTCATTCAGGCCCGCTACCACTTTTCTAGGATGGTCGCGTACCACCTGCCAGGTGCCAATGTACCACAGGTGGTACCCGTACCACTGGTTGAAAAGCCTTGGTCTAGCTGACTGGCGTTGTGCCTGTCTCCTCTCTGCTCTACGTGTCCTTGGATTGGAGGAGGTGTGGACTCCACCTCATTGCTAACAGATGGAAGCCGGTTCTGGCCTGGATCTCCTAGCCAACTTGCTCACCTCACTCAGCCTCAAACAGTTCCTCATCTGATGGACCCAGCTGAGGCTGCTCCATCAGGCTAGCACCCTCCGAGCCCTGATCCTGACCAGCACTCAGCTCCGTGTGCTTTCCTCTGCCGACTCAAACTTGCCGCCCTCCTCTGAACTCGCATCCAGAGATGGGCCCAGGGGCAGATCCATGACACGGCTTCATCTCCTGTAGCTCCTAGCTACACAGCCTGGACTCTCTTGGCTGGCAGATGAGAGCTGGGGAGGGTGCCCTGTGCCAGTAAATGGAGGTGGTACAAAATATTTATATATCAAACACATTAACTGCCCATCTCCCTCACATAGGGGCCCTGGGTGGTGGATATGCTGAAGTCTGAACTGTCCTTCCTTTCTGTCCTTGAAATGGTGCTACAGGGTTCAATGGAGGTCAGAAAGCTCCATTCCCAGGCAAAAAAAAAAAAAAAACCAGTCTGAACTGTCCACTACAACAGGGGTCCCCAACCTCTCGGCTGTGGACTCATACCAATCCGTGGCCTGTTGGGAACCAGGCCGCGCAAGCAGCGGGTGAGCAAGTAAAGCTTTTATCTGCACACGCATGGAATCTAGTTGTCATGTGTCTGATTAACGAAACACTTAAAAGGACTTTCAGGCATATTTTTTCCTAAAAGCATTTATTAAGGTTACAGAGACATCAGTACAGCATGGTGGAAATGCTTAGGTCTGGCTTCTCTTCCATTACGCATATACATTCCAAGCATTTCCCACTCCCTTATTGTAGGGTCATGGTTCACATCTTCCAATCAACTTGGAAGATGTGATTTACTTCCGGTTTCTTTTTCCCGGGCTATCCTTATTCTCCTCCTTTTTCCCTGTTGCCTGGTTTAACTATAAAAATACCAGACAGTTCTGCATATTGTCAAAGCAAGAATATACAGTATTTGCAGCGTTGACACTAGTTGCATGTGAAACCACCCCCACCCCCACCACTCTGGTTTGTGGAAAAGTTATCTTCCACAAAACTGGTCCCTGGTGCCAGAAAAGTTGGGGACCGCTGCACTACAAGGTGGGATCCATTCTGGTGAAGTCAGAACAGCTCGGGATGCTTCTGCCAAGATCTGAAGAAAGGAGGTTGGTATTGGGAAACTGTGACCTCAGAATGCTGGGCGGGTTTCCATCCCAAACCTGATTCGTGCTTGGCACAAGACCCATTTCAAGAATCAGACCTGACTGGGCACTGCAGGACTGATGTGGCACTTTTTTGTTCTGGCAGGAGGCCCTGGCCAACCTGGGAATTGCCACCAAAGCGGAAAGCCAGCAGTGGTTCGCGGGCGAGAAATTGGGCCTGACAGGGTAAGTTGTCAACTTGAAAAGCTCTGCTCTCACCCAACCAGGTGGGTTATTCCAGGTCCCTTGCCCAACATGCATGCATTCTCCTGGGGTACTGAAAGCTGAGTGGTGCAGAGAAGAGCAACAAAGATGACTAGGGGACTGGAGGCTAAAACAACAACAACAATAGTAATAATAATAAAGTTGGAAGGGACCTTGGAGGTCATCTAGTCCAACCCTCTGCTCAGGCAGGAAACCCTATCCCATTTCAGACAAATGGCTGTCCAGTCTCTTCTTAAAAACTTCCAGTGTTAGAGCATTCACCGCTTCTGGAGGCAGGTAGTTCCACTGATTAATTGTTCTAACTGTCAGGAAGTTTCTCCTTAGTTTTTTATTTAGATTTATATGTGTTATGTTTGTATTATTTGTATTTGAATAAAATAAAATTTAAATTAAAAAAAAATATCTAAAAAAGAAATAAATCTTTTTTCAGAACGGTGGACTTGCTGGATTGGAACAGTTTGATCGATGCCCGGATTCAAATCTCCAAACTTCTGCTTGTTCCCAACCTGAAGGTAAACGCCAGACGTGCAAGGACGTTCTTCGTTGTGATGGAAATGAGGATGTAGCCGTTTTTAGGAGTCTTCGGGGTCTACATTTGAACCACACATTTCTTGGTTTAGGGCAGTGGCAACTGTGGCAACTTTAAAGGTGTGTGACTTCCACTCCCAGAATACCCCAGCCAGCATAGCCTTAAAGTTGCCACGGTTGAGAAACAATGGCTTAGCCAGCTGCTGTTTAAAAATTCTCCCAAATATATAGAAAAGCTGCACAGTTTTTCCGGCCAGGTCACATTCAGTTCAAGGGTTCACAGTCAGAATAATGTGAGGTTGCTCTAAAGGGAACTGACCAGCCGATGCTAGTCCTCAGTGAGTTGCCTACACACACACACCCCTCCCCAGTAAATGTCAGGGCTGCAAAACTCTGTAGAGCAGTGTTTCTCAACCTTGACAATTTTAAGGCATGTGGAGTTCAACTCCCAGAATTCCACAGCCAGCATGCTGGCTGTGGAATTCTGGGAGTTGAACTCCACATGCCTTAAAATTGTCAAGGTTGAGAAACACTGCTGTAGAGGAACATCCACTTGTTTAACAAGATCTACGAGGCAGGTCTGCAGCATTTAGGATTAGTGATGTATGTATTTTTAAAAGTTATTAAATTTACATGCCGCCCATCTGATATATCAAGTAACTCTTCGCACTCTGTGCAGTGTGTAATCTCTCCTCTGCAGCTAAGTGAGGAGTAGGGTGGGGTCTTCTCTGTTCTGAACCAGCTGCAGAAAAGCCATCCTCGCCCAGGCTGGCCAGCTTAAACAAGTCAGGAATGGCTCTTTTGAGCTTCTTCAGGAAGAAGATAGTGGGAAGCAATGATAAAGGATCAGGATCCTCTTTGGTTGGCAGTTGGGAGCATCTGTGGCTTCTCTGGCCTCCCTTCCTTCCTTCCTTCCTTCCTTCCTTCCTTCCCCCTCCATTCAGAGTCACCGTTGCAACGATAAGTGTAAGGACCCACCCCACTTTGCATCTTAAGAAGACAGAACTCTTGGAATATTTCTTCCAACAGGCATCTTTATTAAGAGAAGATGGTTGCAGGCGTTCTAGACAGGACCTGGGGCCCAAGCCCTACGGTTCAAGGTTTTAAGTGTTCCCAAGCAGCCTCCCCACCCCACCGTCCTTCCAGCGACAATCCCAGGCATTACATTTCCACCCCCTTTTCCTCACGGTGGCGGAAGGGAAACTTCAGAGAGGAGTAGATGAAAGCTGATGGGCCCTATTGTTATGATCAGTCCTTTTGGTGCGATCCACATTCGGTCCCTTTGAAGTTGTAAGGAAGGAAGTGAGAGCCATAAAACCCCTTTGCTCATCCCCCTTCCCCTTCGTAGTATGACAGAATCCAGAGAGGGCAGAAATGGGGTTTTCCATAGTTGATAACTAGAGATGAAATATAATTGGATTCTGACAGTAAGCCTATTTTAGACATTGGGAGATGACCCACATTTGCTGATCCTTCCAGGGCTCCTTCTGTGCTCAGACAGGTGCACCATGATGGCCCTTTGGGTAGGGCAAGGAGAGCAGGGTCGAAAGGGCATGGTAGGCTCTTCAAGGCCCTATTGGCTTTTATTATAGCTGTGCAAAAATTAGACCTGGACACTAGATTTGAGCAAATCAGGCAGCCCCATCAAAACAGTTCCAGGCATCAAACATTTGCGTGCAGAGGTGTGCTGTCCCGCTCACTCACACACACACATAATGGTGGTTTAGTGCAGAGATCTCCAACCTTTTGGGCATCAAGGACCGGTTCCGTGGAGAGAGGTGTTTCCACGGACCGGAGGGGGTGTGGTTTTGTGTGTTGCCTGCATCCCGCGGATGGGGCTTTGCTTGTTTGTGCGGACCGATTGCTGGCATGCCGCGGCCCGGTACCGGTCCACAGACCGTGGGTTGGGGACCCCTGGTTTAGTGGGTTTATTAATATTCCCCAACAATTCACCAAAAACCTAGAACTGTCCCAATGAAGTCTAGCCACAAGCAGGTCAATGCTAGTCCACAGAGAAATGGCCAATGAGTCCACAAGGCACTTGAAAGTTTCCCAGACAAGATAAACCCACCAGGCAAAGTTAAATCCACAGCACAAGAGGGTTTCAGGAGGCCAGAAAAATCCAGAGTTCACAAGGCTTGATCCAGGTCCGGTGTCAATCCAAATCAAGGCAGGAAACACACAACTAGGGAATGAACACATTGTTCCCAGCATCGGCTCCATCTGTCTGCTGGGCTAAATAGCCAGCTTCTGGTGCAGCCATCAAGAAGGGTGAGGAGTTCTCCTCTTAAGTAATCAGGCTGACCTTCTCTGCTCCTGCCTTTTCTCTGCCCTACGTTTCTTGGATCAGGTGCAGAAGACAGTTCCTCTTCACTGACCGGATGCAGCTGCATGCTTTCCCCACCTGAAGCCTCAGCTGCAGCTGCATGCGTTCCCCACCTGCTGCAGCTGTGCTTCATCCAAATCTCTCTCAGACAGTTGCTCAGAGCCCTTGACCAACTCCCCTCCTGATGTGCCAGGAACTGGTTCATCCTCCAAGCTGACCTCTGGAGAGGAATGTGGGAAAGCATCCAGGGGAGTCATTCCAGAGGGGCACAAAGCAAGTCCAGACCCCCAGATTGGCCTGGCTCCCTTCAGGGACTCAAAACTAGCAGCTGGAGTGTTGAAATGTCCTCAAGCTCCATTTTTTTTTATGTCTGGGAATGGTTCCTAATCTCATCTCTCAACCCCATCAGACAGGCCAGCTTGAGCCGCTCCTGTCTCGCTTCACCCAGGAAGAGGAGAGGCAGATGAAGCGTATGTT